CTGTTGTTGTTGTTATGTGCTGTCAAGTCGGTCCCGACTCATAGCGACCCCTCCTTGCGTTTCCGAGGCAATATCATTATGGAAGTAAATTGCCCCATCTTCCTTCCAAGGAGTGGCTGGTGGGTTTGAACCGCCAGCCTTCTGGCTAGCAGTCAAGTGCCTTAGGCACTATGCTACCAGAGCTCCTATATGATTTATATATATACACCAATCTATACAGTGGCCCATGGTACCTTCCTTTCTGCATTGCCTAGCTCTCTTTCCCCAGAACCAGTCCAAATAAGTAAAGAATCAAAAAAAAAAAAAAAAAAGAGAGAGAGAGAGAAAAGCAAGTCTGAAGCCAGGAGGGTGAGAGCCTACATGATTAAGTCCCAAGTTTATAGAGATTATAATGGAAAACAAAATATTAGATTTGTCTCTTGGCAGCAGTAGAAAGCAATTTCATTGCAGCTATCCTCCTGACCTAGCAGCCTGCAAGTCACAAACTTCATAATAGTATTGTATCCTTGTAGACAGTATATCAAATATCATCTTTCCAAGTTTGTGACTTTTAATCACAATATATATTGCTGGTCTATGAAGCCTGATTTCAAATTCTGCCTACAACACGTTGCTATTAATTCACTTGTTCTTAAGACTGCCCAAATTAACTTTTCTCTTTTTTTTTAAAAAAAAAAAAATCATTTTGGTCTGGAAGAGCTCGGATGTTCAAATGTTTTTGTTTCTCAAATTGTGTTTTCATATGCAAAAGAGAAACATTTAGGGCTGATTTTGTTTATGTATCTTTTGTTTTGTTGTTTTAATGGTTATATGATTAGAGAACTTGCCTTATCCTTAATAGTTGGAGCTTATTGGTCATTCTTTATATCAACACTAAGTAGATATGTGCAGTCTTTCAACAGATACTTAATTAGTATCTACTGTGTGCAATACGGGAGCTCTGATGGAATAGTGCCTAAGGCATTTGACTGCTAATCAAAAGGCTGGTGGTGCAAACCCACCAGCCACTCCTCGGAAGGGAGACTGGGCATTCTAATTCTGTAGAGATACTGCCTCGGAAACCCCAGGAGGGATCGCTATGAGTCAGAATTGACTCAACGGCAGTGAGTTTGTTATGTGTGTATGTGTGGGTGTGTAATATATTGTACAAGAAATGCTGTAGATCTCATCCTCAATTCTAAAACTAGGGGCGGTTTGCTGGCTCTCTCCCTCTCTGTCACTGACACTTTCCAGTGAAAGAAACAAATAACCATGAGATTTTCATCATTATATCCTAAATGTGTGCTTTCACTTATATAGCTACTGGAGTGTAATAAATAAGTGACTTTGGAAAAAAATTGTATCTGACTTTGAAATACATGCCAGATGTTGGCATTTTCCATTAGAAGTTCAAAAGAGGATGTGAGAACTTTAAACAAAAAACACTCTTCCTATCAATTAGAAAGATTTACCATTGAAATAAACTTCCCTTATAGGAAGTGAGTTCACTGTCACCGGAGAGTGCTTTTGAAGCAGAGTTTGTCTATTTTTTAAGGGATATTGTGGAAGGGATTTTTTTTTTCTATTTTAAGTAGTATTAAAGTGATTTTCTACTTACTAAGCAGTAGTTCCAAATAAAAAGAAATCCCTGACAACTTCAGTCTTCTCTCCACTTATTGGGATGTTGTTTATTGGTCCAGTTGTGAGCATTTTTGTTTTCTTTATATTGAGGTGTAATCCATACTGAAGACTCTAGTCTTTAATCTTCATCAGCAAGTGCTTCAAGATCCTCACTTTCAGCAAGCAAGGTCATCTACATATTGCAGGTTGTTAGTGAGCCTTCTTCTAATCCTGATGCCACGTACTTCTTCATAGAGTCCACCTTCTCGGATTATTCGCTCGCATACAGATTGAATAAGTGTGGTGAAAGGATACAACACTAGCACACACTTTTCCTGATTTTAAACCAAGCAGCTGTCAAGAAAACAGATGTCATATTGCAAAGGACAAATGTGCTGCAAAAGACCTCTTTAATATGTGAAAGAGCAAAAATGTAACTTTGAAGACTAAGGTGTGTCTGACCCAAGCCATGGTATTTTCAATAGCCTTATATGCATATGAAAGCTGGACAATGAATGAGGAAGACTAAAGAATTGAATTGAATTGAATTGAATTGTGGTCTTGGCAAAGAATACTGAAAATACCATGGACTGCCAGAAGAATGAACAAATCTGTCTTAGAAGTAGTACAGCTTAAATGCTCCTTGGAAGCGAGAATGGCCAGACTTCATCTCACCTACTTTGGTCATGTTGTCAGAAGGGACCATTCCCTGGAAAAGAATATTAAACTTGGTAAAGTGGAGGGTCAGCGAAAAAGGGGATGACCCTCAACAAGATGGATTGACACAGTGGCTGCAATGATGGGCTCAAGTATAGCAAAGATTGTGAGGATGGCACAAGAATAGGCTGTATTTAATTCTGTTGTACAAGGAGTCACTATGAGTCAGCGTTGACTCGATGTCACCTGACAACAACAACAAGCGGTGTTTAAAGGAGTCAGTTGCTAACTTAAAGGTCAGCAGTTTGAACCCACCAGATGCTCTGCAGGAGAAAGATGAGGCAGTCTGCTTCTGTAAAGATGGAGTAGTTCTACTCTGCCTTATAGAGTTGCTGTGTGTCGGAATCTTGATGGCAGAGAGAGTGTTTAAGCATTCATCAATTAAAAGTAGAGGGAGGTGACACAGACACATACTGAGTGTAGCACTGAAGAGTCAGACTATTATCAGAATTTTTTCCAGATAACCTAGATAGCCCCAACACGATAACTGAACAATGAATGTATATGTTCTACACATTGTTAATTACAGTGATGATGACCTGGTACATATTTATCTAAACTTCCATACTTGTGTTACAGAAAATAGAAATTATTGATGATGAAGAAAGTGACATGATTAGTAATTCTGAAGTGGAACAAGTTAATTCTCTCTTGGATTATAAGGTAAAAAGTACTTTCAAATTCTGATTCATTAAGGGAAGGTATTAAAGGAGACAAAATTTTTGCAATGCCTATGTTACTCCTCTTTGATAACAGCCTCTGCATCCATTCTCTCAGGCATCTTGGAAATGAGTCAGCATGCAGGGCATTTTAATTCATTCTGGCTGGTTTAGTGGCTCTGGTTTTAAGTAAAGAGTGTGCAGAGGGAGAGTTGGCATTGATGATGTTTGGCAAGGTGAACAATGCATGGTAGTATTTAATGTGACATTTATGTCAAAGCTTTTTTAAAGCCAATATTCATTTAAATAGTGGTGAAAAGGAAATTGTTTTCTCCAGTGGCACTTGATAATGTTATACTGAATTGCAGTTTGTTCTAAAGACCAAATTATTATTCATATAATAATATAGCTGTGCTAAAAGTTTATAAATAATCCTCAAAGCAAATGCAGAATGAATATGAATGGAAATGACCTTTTCTTAAT